GTTACTCTGTATCCCTAAAATTTACACAATTGCAAATAGCATATGTCGAAATAACCCACATCGGCAAAAACGAGGCGTTCAGTGAGATGCGTAATAGGATATCCAGAAAAGCATGTTTACTCGTAAAATCGGGGCAAACTTAGAAAAAAATACGAATGGCTGCTGAAAACAATAGATCAGACTCTAGATAGCAGTTAGGTCGCTCAGCCAGGCATGACGACGGACCGTCGTGAGTCGTGAAATGCATGTGCTGCCTACAGGCACAACGGGTCATCTCAATTATATTTTATGCCTTTTTATGTGTGTTGAATATGTTTCATCTGTTGATTAACATCTTATGTGCCTTTCTTTTATAAAGTTTATGTTGTGATATGTAAAAGAGTATGATATCCATAGAAAAGCTTATATCAGCCATCGTATGAAGTGTCTCAAAATATATAGGTGGCATGACCACCAGAGGATCGACAGGATTGGATATTATTTGTAAATTGTTATGACATGCCGTTTACTTCCCCAGTTTAATTCCCATAAAGGAATATCTTATCTTAGCTGATATCTCTATCCCCAGCCCGACCCCAACCACTGTCTGCGACACCCGACCTGGTTTTGCTTTTGAGACGACCCCTCCTACCTATTTCTTTTTATAGTAACAGTGAGACTCCGTGGCAGCTACATCCTCCATAGTTTCAGTGTTAAAGTTATTATTTTTTACGTCAGCTATCGTTTATAATGAAGCTAAGTTTAATTACAAAATGGGCATTTTAAAACTGTCCTTTGTCATACAATATCATAGCACACTAATTTGCATAAAGCCATGGTCTGTTTCAAATAAATTGCTTTGGGCATAAACACACTTCTAATTTCTGCACTGATCTCTCCTCAGTAAAGTCCTTTTTCCACGTTTCCTCCCCCCTACCACTGAGACTGTAGTTAGGCCGAACGTATTTTAACAGATATTTCAAACTTTCACATATTAAAAACATAAACTGTAGATACAAATGCGAAAAAAACAGTGTTTTTTTCCGACAGTACTTTAGGCTACCCCACCGCCCACAAGAAGGAGAAGAAGAAGACAAAGTTGAAGAAGAAGAAGAAGAGGTTGAACAACAACAACAATCACAAGATCAGTTCAGAGCTCTTTACTCTTTACAATTCAGGGTATTGGCACCCTCACCCAAAGAATCATGTCCGACAATAGATCAACTCTCGCCCCTCAGTTGGTTGTATTTAAAAACTGTAATGGGAGGGCATGGGTCACGTTGCATGGCAGGTCTTCATGGCAATATTTGTTGTGCACATCGCGCATTTAGTTAGACTATGATCGTCTTGTGAAGCATGTCAGGGTTGATGATGAAACTTACGTATTCCCCTGATTTCTCAAACAAACCAACGATATAGGACAGAATCGCAGTGTCAATTATCATTTTGACGATGGTTCTGTACAGCAAATTGTCCTATCATTCGGCACAAGTTCAGTTTTACAAGGTAAGGCTAGATGACCGACCACCACACAGAGTGACTATGCAGTGTGTTGGGAGGAACAGTAGCCCTGACGAGGTCTTTGTTTGGATAAACATCGGACAGCCTGAAAAGTGAAGCAGAAGGCCCGTTTTCTTCCAAACCAGCCACAATCCGCTCGAGACCGTCAATGTGTGATCACAATATCAATTTAAAATTATAAGCATTTGCTTATAATGAGACTGTCCAACACATTGCAGTGGATGGCCACGTTGCCACACACAGTATCGTGACATGATGTCGTGGATCCATCCTATCCGACTTTGTCATGCTTTCAGTCTTCACGAAGAGGTCCAACCCATGGTACGACCATCAATATGTCGAGGAAGTCATAGACAATTTTATAATTCTTCAGTTAATAATCATAATATACAGCCTCAAACATATCTAAGCCATCAAACCTAACGCTGTCCTTTTTTCATTAATCCAAAGAAATCATTTATCCCTTGGAATTATCTGTTCATTCTGACACAAATGTGATTGAACAAATCCAGGAAAAACAAATATGCATCCCAAGTACGTACCAAGTTGTTCGATTGTTCTCAGTGCGGAAGGTATGGTACACCCCTGCGTTGAATGCTAACAGCCTTACCTACCGTAGTGCATCTACAAAGTAGCAGCGTGTCATGGTCCTGTTAGAAAAGTGATTTCCATGACATGAATGACTGATTATATTTATTCTATAATTATAATACAGCTGCATATCCTTGTCTGTCAGTATGTTTCATTTCCAACAAAATATAAATATCTATGTTTCTCCAAAAGCAAATCATATTGCTGCAACCTTTCACCATAAATGGCAATGGCGTAACCATAGTAGCTATGTTCAGTTGTCAACTGGTCTTTCACACTTTGCACAAGCGGGATCTGTAAGTTCAATAAGCCAGCACATATTTTCCAGATCGAGGATGCTTGTTCGCAACAGAAATGTGCACCACACATTACAATATCCATATAGTTTCATTTGCAAACATGTTGTTTCACCTGTTGGCCATGTACTACATATACAAAAGGTTAATTGGACATACAGGTGTCGGGCACATGCCAGCTGAATCCTCGTTTTGTAAGCCAAATCAATAAGGCTGGATTTTGTATGGTAACTGGATCGTGTTTCAGATACAGCTGCAAAATATGATAAAAAAGTAGGACGACCCTCATTACAGAAAAACTGGTTTGGAAGCCGATTTCGCCTGTCGTCTATTTTACGCTCTGTTTCAAATTTCATTTTGGTCAAACATTTGTGATTAAGTATGCTCCAGACTATTCAAATCTGAAAAGCTGCTATTACAAATATATAAAAGTACGATTGAATATATGCCATAGTTTCTTGCCAATGATCGATTTAATGTATCATCAAATGATTCAATACAGAAGTATGTCCACATGAATAATTTAAGATTATTACCATGTGTTTGAATATAAATATACAATAAGGTGGTTGCATTTTAATGTACCTACAAATGCTTGAATTTGAGAGTATAACCGGAGAATTGAATAAACGAGTAATTGTAATATTATATTTGGGATTACACTTTCTTAGTTAAGTACAAATTCTAGTACTTTTGTTGGGTTGAGTCCCATCCGGGATTCGAACACACACCCTCAGAGTCAGGCACCTAATCGCCGGCACACAAAGTCAGCCGCCTAACCCACTCAGCCAGCGCAACTTCCACAAAGTCCGCTGTCTAGACTACCAGTTGTCCGACTTCCATTTTTGTGGAAGTCACGGTGGCGGAGCCAAAAGCAGAGTTAATTGTACAGTTGTGACGATATCATGAGCAAATGCTTGTTTCAGCAGCATTACAGCTGTAGGATGTTGTTTGTAAACAAATTGAGTCTTAACCAGACAATCCAATGATTGTCACCATGTTATACGATGACAGAGCATGTGTTTATGAAATCGCTATGAAATATTAGGTGTTCGCGAAAATGTGAGCGTATCCTGTCCCATTGGTGGCACCCTTCATAAATATATGCTAAGTCTAGTCATTTGTCCACCTGAAATATTCGGGCACGTATGATATAAGTCAAAATAGGGAGCTGCATCGGACTGCGTTAACATGTGATTGACTGTAAGAGCATTAACATGTGATTGACTGTAAGAGCATTAACATGTGATTGAATGTAAGAGAATTAACATGTGATTGAATGTAAGAACATTAAGATATGATTGAATGTGATGTGAGAGAATAAACATATGATTGAATGTAAGAGAATTAATACATGATTGAATGTGATGTGAGAGAAAAACATATGATTGAATGTAAGAGCACGAACATATGATGGAATGTAAGAGCATTAACATGTGATTGAGTGTAGGAGAATTAACATGTGATTGAATGTAAGAGCATTAACATGTGATTGAATGTAAGAGCATTAACATGTGATTGAATGTAAGAACATTAAGATATGATTGAATGTGATGTGAGAGAATAAACATATGATTGAATGTAAGAGCATTAACGTGATTGAGTGTAGGAGAATTAACATGTGATTGAATGTAAGAGCATTAACATGTGATTGAATGTAAGAGCATTAACATGTGATTGAATGTAGGAGCATTAACATGTAATTGAATTTAGTAGCATTAACATGTGATTGAATGTAAGACCATTAACATATGATTGAATGTAAGACCATTAACATATGATAAATGTGATGTAAGAGCATGAACATATGATTAAATGTAAGAGCATTAACATGTGATTGAATGTAAGACCATTAACATATGATAAATGTGATGTAAGAGCATGAACATATGATGGAATGTAAGAGCATCAACACATCATTGAATGCAAGAAAATCACCATATGATCGAATGTACTTATGATTGAATGTATTAATGTATGAATGAGTGTCAGTGTAAGGTGCAAGAGCATCAGCATATCATTAAAGGCAAGTATCAACATCTGATTAAATGCAAAAATATCAATAAATGATTGGACATGAATATCAACACAGAATTGAAAGTAACAGTAAACGGTACGTTGTGAGACGTAAACTGAATCCCAGACTCTCGCCGATTTGGCTCGTCTCTTATTAATCAGTTGTCAGAGAAATAAGAAAAGCAGAAAAGCACAAAAGAACATAGCAGATTATGGTATAAGAATCGTAGAGCGATGTCGTAAATCACCAGAACTACAACCAAACCGACAATATACACATTGAATGTCCTCATGTGTAAATATCAATGCCATACACACACATTAATGGTCATGTGTACACACATTAATATCCCTTACGTCAAATTATTAATATCAATTTCCCCAAGGGCGATAGGAGGATCGTGATATGATATAAATATCCCGAACAATATAAAATGACGTCATACCACGAGACATCTTGTCGTATATATTCATTAGCTTTTGCATTTTTTCGAAGTCTGAACCACAATCGGGGTGTAATCTAACCCATTTCAAATACCGAAGCTCTTAGATGAGCCGTTTGGCAGAGAGACAGACACACGTCATATGGAGGCTCACCTGTAGCGTCAAATCTCGTATCTTGTTTCCAGGTAGGGTCAACTTCGCCAACATATGGTTTAGCCAGACATGTTTCTGTCCACACGTTGACAAGGGTAAAAACAATCGGCTTGATCAAAGTTCATGTCACGATGTTAAAGGCTGTGGTCTAAATCTTTGCTTGGACTATTTCACCACGAGGCTGAACAGAATTCCCCGTCCTTCAACAAATCGGTGTCGTAAAACACCTGTTGCTATAGCAACTGTTTGTACGCGCAGGTAACACTGGCCTCGTCGTACTTATCCCCGTGCTAGCGTTACAATAGCTTATCGACCAGTCGATCGACGGTTTAGATGACTGAAATTCGCTGTTTTGCGTTCAATATTTCAGCCTCAATAGGGCATTGAGAGGAATCTATTTGTGTACGTACCACTTGCCCGTTAGATCTACAGGCATGATATAATTAGACATTTTGCAGAAGTGACAACGATTCCCTAAGGATCAATTAAGGCAGAGAATACGAAACATCTGCTATACCAATACTTCCTGTTTGTGTTCGAATATGTTGGAACATTGGCAATAGGTTTATGATGGGATATATGACTGACAGCGCACAGCAATAAATTCACAACATATTCAATAAAGAACAATCAATGCATTGATTGGTTCCCTACACGAACATGCCATGCGTTCCTAACTCAACCTTGATAGATATTTGTAGCTGTTTCTGTATTTTGCTCCCGTTGCTAATGAATAGAGAGCTAATTGATTTACACAGGCGCGGTGTGACTGAGATACAGGTCGCAATAACATGTTAGATAAACACGAACATGTTAGATAAACATAATGTTACAAACGTAGTAACACGTTATTTAACAATATGCATGTTACTCAATCAGTAACACGTTATGTAAACATTTGCATGTTACAGAAACAGTAACACGTTATGTAAACATTTGCATGTTACAGAATTAGTAACACGTTATTTAAACAATTGCATGTTAGAGAAACAGTAACACGTTATGTAAACATTTGCTGTTACAGAAACAGTAACACGTTATGTAAACATTTGCATGTTACAGAAACAGTACCACGTTATTCTAACATTGGCATGTTACAGACGTAGTTACACGTTATTTAAACATCTGCATGTTACAGACGTAGTAACACGTTATTTAAACATTTGCATGTTACTCAAGCAGTAACACGTTATGTAAACATTTGCATGTTACAGAAACAGTAACACGTTATGTAAACATTTGCTGTTACAGAAACAGTAACACGTTATTTAAACATTTGCTTGTTACAGAAACAGTAACACGTTAAATATGCACATGCATGTTACAGTAAGGGCAACAAGTGGCCTAAACATATGTATGATGCAGACAAAGTTACACGTTATTTACACATTTGCATGTTACAGAAACAGTAACACGTTATTTGAACATTTGCATGTTACAGAAACAGTAACACGTTATCTAAACATTTGCTTGTTACAGAAACAGTAACACGTTATGTAAACATTTGCATGTTCAGGAAACAGTAAGACGTTATTTAAACATTTGCATGTTACAGAAACAGTAACACGTTATGTAAACATGTGCATGTTACAGAAACAGTAACGCGTTATGTAAACATTTGCATGTTACAGAAACAGTACCACGTTATTCTAACATTGGCATGTTACAGACGTAGTTACACGTTATTTATACATCTGCATGTTACAGACGTAGTAACACGTTATTTAAACATTTGCATGTTACTCAAGAAGTAACACGTTATGTAAACATATGCATGCTACAGAAACAGTAACACGTTAAATATGCACATGCATGTTACAGTAAGGGCAACACGTTGTCTAAACATATGTATAATGCAGACATAGTAACACGTTATTTAAACATCTGCATGTTACAGACGTAGTAACACGTTATTTAAACATTTGCATGTTACTCAAACAGTAACACGTTATGTAAACATATGCATGCTTCAGAAACAGTAACACGTTAAATATGCACATGCATGTTACAGTAAGGGCAACAAGTTGTCTGAACATATGTATGATGCAGACATAGTAACATGTTATTGAAACATATGCATGTTACATAAACTGTCACATGATATTTTAACATATACTTGTTACTGAAACAACAACACGATATGTAGACACATGTATGCTATAGAAACAGTAACGCGTTAGATAAGTATATGTATGCTATAGAAACAGTAACGCGTTAGATAAGTATATGTACGCTATAGAAACAGTAACGCGTTAGATAAGTATATGTATGCTATAGAGGCAGTAACGCGTTAGATAAGTATATGTATGCTATAGAAACAGTAACGCGTCAGATAAGTATATGTATGCTATAGAAACAGTAACGCGTTAGATAAGTATATGTACGCTATAGAAACAGTAACGCGTTAGATAAGTATATGTATGCTATAGAGGCAGTAACGCGTTAGATAAGTATATGTATGCTATAGAAACAGTAACGCGTTAGATAAGTATATGTATGCTATAGAAACAGTAACGCGTTAGATAAGTATATGTATGCTATAGAAACAGTAACGCGTTAGATAAGTATATGTATGCTATAGAAACAGTAACGCGTTAGATAAGTATGTGTATGTTATAGAACAGTATCGCGTTAGATAAGTATATGTATGCTATAGAAACAGTAACGCGTTAGATAAGTATATGTATGCTATAGAAACAGTAACGCGTTAGATAAGTATATGTATGCTATAGAAACAGTAACGCGTTATATAAGTATATGTTTGTTATAGAAACAGTAACGCGTTAGATAAGTATATGTGTGCTATAGAAACAGTAAAAAGTTATTTATAAATATGCATGTTATAGAAACAGTTACATGTTCGATATACATATGCATGTTATAGAAACTGTAACACGTCATATAAACGTTTTAAATAATATTATGTCCGATATGTGTACAGAAACAGTAACACGTTATTTAAACATTTGCATGTTTTAAAAGCAGCAACACGCTATTTAAACTTTTGTATGATTCAAACGATACAGCACTTATACGTACTTCAAATACACTCTTCAAAAAATGAAACGCATCAAAGGTGATTTTGAGAATATTGGACTCTTGTAGCTGCGGTAACAACAATACAAATAAAATATTTCTTTCCAAAACGTCACCTTTGTGTGATTGTAAACAGCCTCAGTGCCAGAACGCGGGAATTTTAACTTGTTCCCTTGTTTTAGAAACGTTTGAAGAAATATTCTCCGAAACGTCACCAAGAAAACGTGCAAAGCAACATGCATGTGCAAGTAAGAGGAATGCATACGGTATTGATCACTATTAATAGACAAACGTTGTCTTTAATTTGGTCATTTGCTTTTGCCTGGAAAAGAGTAAATCACCATGCCGAGCCTGTGTGCCGCCAATCGAAACATCGCCATAGGCCACCTTGATGCTGGGGAGTCGCAGTCTGCAGTTGCCCGACATGTATACGTTCATCAGACTGCCATATCTGGGATCGTTTCCTGCTGACCAATTCCGCCCAAGATCGCATGAGAAGCGGCCGTCCAAAAGTTACCACCCAAGCCTAGGACCACCATATCGGGGTTGCTCACTTGCGTCATCGTCTTGCCTCACCGGTGAAGACTGCACAACGCATCCCTGGTTTGAGATAAATGTCCGACCAAACTGTCTGGAACCGATTGGGTGAAGCGGGGATACAACCAAGAAGGCTGGAACCTTAGAAACTGGAGTCGAGTCTGTTTCAGTGATGAATCACGACTTCTTCTTCCCCGGCGAGATGGAAGGCAGCGTGTTTACCATCGGAGAAATTAACGTTTTGGCCTTAACTGCATTGACAGGTTGCACAGATTCGGTGGAGACAGTGTCATGGTGTGGGGTGAAATATCCTGCACACAAAGATCTGATTTAGTGGTGGTTCAGGGGAATTTGACAGCAAGTTGCTACAACAACGAAGTCCTTGCACGTCACATGCTTCCGATTACGGACTGGCAGAGGGAGATGTTCCAGCAACGCTACTTCTCATACAGCACGGGTCACGGTCCAATTCTAACGTCAGTGTCTTGCCATGACCTTCCCGATCACCAGATCTAAAAACCCAATAAAACACTATGGGGTGAACTCAATCGACGTGAACGCCAACGTCAAAACACCCCTCAGATACTACCACAACTGGCCATCGCATTTCAGGAAGAGTGGGTAAAATTCCGCAAGAGCGGACTGATGCAGTTTGTGCCGAGCAGTACTTGCTGCCAATGGTGGCCATACAAAGTATTGACTTTGACACCATCTTGTGGACTCAAGTAAACAGAAACACAAGAACTCTTTGTCTATAGATGGGTGATTTTCACCTTTTTACCATTGACATTACATGAAATAATTGCTCCTAAACTAAATCAATAGTTCTTCTAAAATCTTTCATGCGCTTCCTTTTTTGAAGAGTGTATCTGCATGCTATAAAAGCAGCAACACGTTATTTATACATATGCAGTCTACAGAACAGCAACACCATATTTAAAAATATGCATGTTACAGAAACAGTAGCACGTTATATAAACATATTTATTACTCGGAATAAAATTGGAATAAAAATGGTATTACACATAAGGTTGTTTAGTATCCTCTGTGCATGTTACAGAAACAGTAACACGAAAAATAAACATTTGCAAGATACAGAAACTGACTATATAATCTTAAGTAAGTTAAATAACTATTACACGCATCATAGTAACATGTACACGTTATAGAAAAATTCATTTTGACAGAAACGTCGTTTAATATGATTGTGTAAAAAATACAGTTGTATGATGTTTTTTTCTGCTTAACTAGCGTTCAGTATAACAGTCCAACTTCAATGCTGAGTGGACGATGCCACCCAGAGATTGATATCATGAGCATCGACCTACACAAATGGAATACTTTTTATCTTACCTTCATGTAAAATACTTATATTTCATTGGTCAATAACGCCTTAACAAGTTTCCGTGTCACCCTATTAACCGCCAAACCCTCAGCCGAGAAGCTTACTCTCCTACCCAGAGTTCCATGCGGCAAGCCAGCATAGTACCTCTGCCACAGTGAGTAAGTGAATATGGTTTTACGCCGCTTTTAGCAATATTCCACCAATATCACGGCGGGGGACACCAAAAATGGGCTTCACACATTGTACCCATGTGGGAAATCGAACCCGGGTCTTTGGCGTGACGAGCCAACGTTTTAACTACTAGGCTACCCCACCGCCCACCTCTGATGAGTCTACACATCTAATTAAACATCATTTTAGAATG